CATTGTTCAATTCCCACCTATGAGTGAGAACACTCTTTACCAATATCGTACTGAATGGGGCAAAAACTAGAAAAATCCCTTTGAAAACTGGCACCCAAGACAGTTGCCCTCTCTCCCACTCCTATCAGACATGTGTTGGAATAGTTCTGGCAGAGCCAATCAGGCAAGAGAAAGAAATGAAAAGTATTCAGTTAGAAAAGAAGAGAAGTCGAATTGTCCCTGTTGCGGCAGATGACACGATTTTATCATTAGAAAAAACCCCATTGCTCAGCCAAAATCCCTCAGGTGATAAAGAAACTTCAGCAAAGTCCTCAGATACCAAAATTAATGTGCAAAAATCACAAGGGCATTCTGTATAACCACCAGTAACAGACAAACAAGAACCAAATCATGAATGTTGAATTCCATTTCACATTGCTTCAAAAATGAAACTACTGAATCCCAACTTACAAGGGATGTAAGACCTCTTCAAGGAGAATCTACGAAACCACTGCTCAGTGAAATAAAAGAGGGACACAAACAATGGGAAGACATAGCCATGCTCATGGATTAGGAAGAATCAATATTGTGAAAATGGCCATTACTGGCCCAAGGTTATTATCATTCAATGCCATTCCCCATTCAACTACCAATGGAGTTTCTTCACAGAAGTGAAAAAAACGCTTTAAAGTTCATATGAACCAAAAGAAAGAGCCGCAATCTCCAAAGACAATCCTAAGTAAAAACAAAGCTGAGGCATCCACGCTACCTGCTTCAAATAGATACAACTACAGTAAACCAAAACAGCATTACTTGGTACCAAAACAGAGATATAGACCAATGGAACCAGAACAGATGTCCTGCAGAAATGAATACCAACATCTACAGCCCATTGATCTTTGGACAGAACTGACAATAAACAAGGAAAAGCGGAAAGGATTCCCTTATTTAATAAATGCGTGTGGGGGACCAATTGGGCGGTAGCCGATAAGTAGAAAGCGTGAAACTGGATCCTTTCCTTATCGTCCTTATACGAAAATTAATTCAAAGATGGATTAGAGACTATAATGGTTAGCCTGAATACCATAGAATCCCTAGAGGAAAACCTAGAGTAATATCATAATTCCAGACAGTAGGCGCCAGGGCAAAGTCATGTCTAAAAACCAAAATGCAATGGCAGCAAATTGCCCAAAATTGTCCGAAAATAGGCTCTAGATTAAACTAAAGAGCTGTCTGCAACAGCCAAGAAATACTCAGTCAGAGTGAACAGGCAACTACAAAATGGGAGAAAATTTTTGCAATCTACTCATCTGACAAGGGCTAATATCCAGAACCGCTACAAGGAACTCAAACAAATTAACAAGAAAAGAACACAACAAGCCCATCAAAAAGCGGCATAAGGATATGAAGAGACATTTCTAAAAAGAAGACATTCATACGCCAAACCAGGACACATGAAAAGAATGCTCATCACTCAGCTGCAATCAGAGAAATGCAAATCAAAACCCACAAGAGATACATCTCACACCAGTTAGAATGGCAATTTCATATACAAAGTCAGGGAAACAACAGGTGTTGGGAGAGGATGTGGAGAATAGAGGAACACCTTTTACACCTGTTGGTGGGATTGTAATAGTTAAACCTTTAGGGAAAACCCAGTATTGGCGTGATTCCTCAAGTGACTAGAAACTAGAAGGTACCATATGCACCCAGCCATCTGCATTACTTGGGTATATACCCAAAGCATTATAAATCATGTGCTATAAAAACGACATCATGCATACGTGATGTTTAATCGGCACTATCACAATAGCAAAGACTTGGAATCAACCCAAATGTCCATCAGTGACAGACTGATGTAAGCGAGGAAAATGTGGCACATATGACACCATGGAATACTATGCAGCCATAAAAGAAGGACTGAGTTCGTGTCTTTTGTAGGGACATGAGTGCAGCTGGAACCATCATCTCCAGCAAACTATCGCAAGAACAGAAAAACCAAACACCGCCGTTCTACTCATAGGTGGGAACTGAATAATGAGATCACTTGGACTCGGGAAGGGAACATCACACACCGGGGCCTATCATGGGAGGGGGGAGAGATTGCATTGGGGAGTTAAACCTGATTTAAATGACGAGTGTGATGGGTGCTGAGAGTTGATGGGGTGCAGCACAGCAACATGGCACAAGTATACATATGTAACAAA